AAAGTGAATAAACAAGTTGAATAGAAAGAAATTATGACAATTTCTAACCACAAAACAATAACATCACTTCACCGTATGTTCTAGACAGCATTTTAATATTCTTAAAAAAATTAAACATTATTTTATGTTAATTTTAATAAAGGCAGAGTTTGACAGGCTCAATAATTGATTCCGAAATCAATACAATCACTGATCCTACAAGGCAGAAGGTTGCAATTCGTATACCTTTCTCCATCTTTTCTCCACAATATTTTACGCCCATCCTTATCCGACTTGAAAGTCTTTTCGTCGCTCAATATGATTACACTGTTCGCCCAATCAAAATTAATAAAGTCCTTAGCAAATTCTTAGCGCTTTTGCTGGTGAACCACAGATAACAATATTTTCTTCTCTGGCTTCCTGCACCTTAAACCAGAATGCAGGTGTCTCCGTACAGTTTGTATTAAAACATTCAGTGCTGTCGCTGTAGTGCGGTTGGCAGGAACGGATCAGCCATGTGCCTGGCTACGATGTCGTAGTGCCGAGCCGATGAATTTGCCTTTGGTTTAGGCCCACGTCGACGATGTTTAACGTCACCGGTCTCCGCATATCTGTGCACCCATAACTGCATGGATCTCCTCTGTTGATACCAAACAAATAAGTATTTAAAATACCAGGAAATACTTTACAGGAATTAAAGTTACTTAATAATAAATATAAGTAAACACAATGTTAGAATAATAATTTATAATCAAGTAGTGGCGTAAGGAATAAAAATCCCTAACCAGATATGTTTTAAAGAATCCTAACAGATAAAAATAAATTAAAATATCTTTATAATATTGAACTTCATAATAAGTTGCAATAATTATTTTATTCTAGTGCAAAAATTGATAGGTGTGTCGAGTTACAAAATGAAATAAATATTATTTAGAATAACAACGTAGTATCTTATTTACTCACCGATATCATTAAACGCCTTGCTATTTCAGTTATTGTTAGTTATGTTTTGCTCATGCAAAACAATGATTTCAGCCTTTTTAAATGTTGATAGGTGTTGGAACATCTTGTAAAAATAAAAATAACTTTGCACACGAATATAAGTAGTGTAGCAATAAACTATGAAATCCTCATAAATTGACAACTAAGAACGCAATTATTTTGTAAGTCGGGTGATTTGAAAAACATGTTTTAAATAGTCGGTAGTTACTTCATAAGCGGTAAAATAAAATGACTCGAGATTTCTATGGTCGCCACAAACATTGCAAATATCTCAGGTATCGAACCATTAAGAAATCACAGTTAATTACTTTTTTACTGTTTTTTCTTATTTAAGTTGGTTGAAATGCATGAAGCAAATGAGATTATTCTAAAAATAAATAACTAGAACTAAAATATAAATAAAGATATTATAGGTATAAATAAATCTAAAGTATTTACTATTAAAATTAACATAAGATTTAGAACAATAGGAAAGGAAAAAAAAGAAAAGATTTAATTGTTTCTAATTTCAAATTTCAAATATTTGATAAATTAATTCTAAAACAACATGTGAATGCTGGAATCGATCCGGCGGCACTTTACTTGACAATTGGAGGTGATAACCATTGCGCCAAGCGCGCTGTAGATCAGATCATCGAAATATTATATCATTCAGTAACATAAAATTACAATGAGAAAGCACTATATTTATATGGGTATTGTATAGCTCGATCGTTCATTATTTTTGATTTCGATTTATTCAAAGTTTGTTATGAGTATTTTTATCTTTACCCTCGTTTTTATTTAAACTTATTTACTAAATTATTACGTATACCGACACAAAAATGATATTTAAATACCAAGATGTGTGTGATAGACGAATGTTTCTATACATATCTATTGATATGAAATTACCCACACATGTATATTGTGTAAATGATAGTTGTGTCGATGTGTTGCGCTGCAACTAATTAGCGGTGCTTTGTGTACGTTGAAATTTCCCCGATGCAGTATTTTTCATAAAAGATCATACCACTCGCCACGGCATTGAAAATCATCTGATTCAGAGTATTTTGGGAATTTTCTTACAAATTTTCCAAAAATATCTCGTTAATACAACAAACAATACACATACTTCGAGCCTATTTTTTTCGCATAAGAAATATCTGTCTTATTGCTGCCATTGGTTATTAAGAAATTTAGAATAGAATATAACATAACATCACGCCTTTTATCCCCGAAGGGGTAGGCAGTACATTATTTTATTGTATAATGTAATACGCACTTTTTACTATTTATGTTATGAGTCCCATGTAATAGGGGGTTAGCCTATTGCCATATACCGGGCACAATTCCAGACTCCGTGCTGCTACTGTAAATTTTTTGAAAAACCCAGTAATACTTTGCCCGACCCGGGAATCGAACCCGAGACCCCTTGGCAGTCGCACTTGCGACCACTGGGCCAATGAGACAGTCAAGAATATAATGTGAACTTGAAAAAACACCTTTAAATAACAATGATACGTTTGAAATTCGTACCTATGTCTTTAATTTAAGAAGTCAATGACTTTTTAAAATAATAGGAGGCCCTACTTTTTTGTATCTTGTAAAATAAATTATTTCTCATACTTTTTGTGTGTGACAAACACAAGTTATTGTTTTTACTACGTGTATTTAACTCAATAACAGATATTTTGTCAATCTTTTTTTTGAGGGAGAAAATGGGAAAATCATCAAATGACTTCAGTCAGACCCAATGTTTAATAATGGCTGTAATTGGTAAATAGTTTATATTCAATATAATAACTAAAAAAAAAGTCCTCACTGCATCCGTAAACTTAGTTAGGTAGATATATACGTAAAACTGGAAAAATGACGCAAAAACATAGGCAAAAAATAAAAGATATGTAGAATTGTCTCAAGGATAAGTGAACGACCTGAACATTCATATACATATATTTCGCTATTAATAAGCAATATATTCAAAACAACCTGATCATCTGATCAGAACAAAGCGTAAGCATAAACGTGATGGCCTTTTTATTTTTTTAAGCACTAGGATTTTCGATTGTTTCGTACGTGCCGTTCTTTCATCAACATTATCATCATCATCAACAGATGATGAAAGATCAACAGATCTGGAAAACGTCCACCGCTAGACTGCTACTAGTCATCAATGTCGAACAACAATAAACAAACAGATCACGTTTACAAATATACACATTTACATACACATCACATACAGACCCGGAAGAAAAATGTATGCATCACGGAAACAATTTTTTTGCTGTTCCGAATTTCGCGAACTCGCGAGACGTTGCAAAGCGGCCGGTTGATCAGACACTGCGCTTACCATGCACTTTTAATTTTAACTAAAGTGATTAATTAATTTGTATTAATTTGCCATACATCGTGGCAATGCTGCCAGCCTTTTGGGTACTTTCCCCACTGACGTCGATGCGGACGAATTCTTTGATGCTTTATGTAAATAGTTTTTTTTTTTTGTTTTTCTTTTAAATAATTTTAATCTTAAGTTGTATATATTTTTGTATTAATTTAGTACTAGTTAGTTTAAATTTTTATTTAAAATAAATACGATTTCTAATTCGATAGTAATTTATGTACTAAAATATACCAAAGTGATTAATACAATTAAATATGTTAGTGAAGTATAAAATTTACCGTAACCGTATCTATGAACCGAAACGTATATTTACATTAAAACATATTCTTCTTATATAAAAAAAAACTTTATAGGGAATCAGCCGATACCTCCTTTACAGATTGCAAAAGATTTTTTAACATGTTTGTGTTCTATAAAGAAAAAAATAAAGCAGGTTTTATTGAATTGAAAACCTGTGTTTTTGCAGGTATGTTAGAGATAATTATTATGTTTTATACGTACATATCGAAATGTGAGCATCACAAAAATATTGTATTATTTATAATATACTATAATACCACTAACAATAAATAAACATAACATTTATAATAGATTTCCAAGTAATATATTGTAATCTAATTGTAATGAGAATTATTCTCAAAAATACAAAAGCAAATGTTTTTTAATTCTAAAAATCTATTATTATTTTTTCAACCATGGGAACGTACTACATTAAATCAACAAAGGACTAAGAACATCCAGTTTTACGTAACTCAAGGACATTATAAACATTACCTACTAAACAGCGCCTCCATAGATTTTCATTCGTACTAACTACGATAAGTAGGACCCACTTTTTTCCACCAGTGTGAAGTAAGTTAACAGGAAAGCAATGGAGTCAAGGCTTGCAAGTTATTTACCGGCTTACCTTCTAGATAGTAGGCTAGTAAAACGTGTCACGTGATCAACAAAACGGATTAACAATGTTCGATTAAAATTAATCCACAATTAAATTGCGACTAGAGTATAGTTATCCGCCATTTTGAATTTTTATTTTTACATTGGTAATACGCTTGTTCGTTCCGGGGTTGTCTTTTAATGCCGTTTAATATTAATTATGGTTTTGCTTCGTAATATTCTATGGAATAGTAATTTTATTGTAGAAAATGTATTAAAATATTATTAAGTGTTATATTTACGATTAATTTTAGTACTTTAGCGAACTTAAGTTTTGCGACGAATCATTAGACCTGGTTAGTAGTTCAGTAAAATTATGCATAGGTACTTCAATTTTCTATGGATGCTGGATAAGGTTACTTTTATAATAATACTTTTAATTTGACAGACGTTATTAATAAAATACGAATATTTATAAATTAATAAACTTGTAACTCAAAAATCAACTGAATTCAGGACATCGCAAAAATAAACGAATGGCAAAAGGGCTAACATCGACCAATGTGTACACGACTCTTAACAAAAATTGATTAACTGAGAGTCACGAACAAATCCAGACGGAGTGATGAGTTAATGACCTACTTTCGATGTCTCATTGTGACACAAACGATGTTTCGCATTATTGCTGCACGTTGCAAATAAATTAATCTTAACATTTTGCACAATCACAGAAAAGAAATGTAATAATGTCTCAACTCACCGTAAAGTGGTCCAACCATAAGCAGGTACAGTAGCAACACACAAAATATTTGAGCCCTGCCACTTAAAGCACGCGGCTTCAGAGCCACCATCACAGTATTGCCGACTAGTTCAAACACTTCCTTCAACAAATTCCTCCGATTACTCTTCTCAACATCATTATAACTCTTCTTCTCATCAGGAGGCACTACGTCTTCAAGTCTGCATAAACCATACACAAACGATATGGAGTACAGCACCAATAATAATGAAAACACACCATAATATCCCATAGCACGCAATAATATTCCACTTAAAGCTGTCCCGGTCGGAGTTCCTGCCGTCACACATATCGTTACGAGTCCCAAGCGGAATGTTCTATTTTCTATCGTAGTTCTATCGGCCATAAAACTGAACATTCCCATAAATATGATGATGTAGCCGCCAGTAAAGGCCGCAGGCAACGCTTCGATCAAAGCGGTCGCTGTCAGCGACAATTCTTTGAAGAAATACGTTGCGAACAATAGCCCAATATTGCAAATAATCTCTCCAATAAATGGAAATAAAATACATATTTTTCTTTTTTTATACTTATCACTCCATGCTCCTACAAATAGTACCATTGCTGCTGGTATTGCTGTCTGAAGAGGGAACTTCCATGCCACCACTGCGGATACCAGTGACTGAATTTCTTTTTCTTCTTTATCCAGACCGGTAGTATTTCTTTTAGAAATACGATCACAAACATCATCCCCATAATCGAAATTTACTCTGCAGGCCTTGTCCAGGTGCATGTTCATGACAGCTAAAGATGATATAGCGGTACACAACATGTAAATAAACAAACATGGTTCGACCGTAGTCTCACGCAATATACTCTTCGCGTATTTTATTATTTTTTTTGGTTGCTCCTTCCATGTTGTTTGCTTTTGAAAACCCGTTAAACGTATATTGGATCTGGTGAGCTCGTTAACACAGCTGATGTTTTCAGTACTCGTAATCATGTTCACTTGGGCCCAGAAAAGTGAGAGTCAGTAAAAGTTCTCCGGCTCACTGCTTATATCACACACTTCACTGTACACCACCGCCACCCGCAGACGACTATACGTTTAATCCGCAGTTATTCGTCTGTAGTTTCCAAAAACCTGAGTAATAGTCAGGTTGTAAAATTAAGCGCGATATGAGAGAGCGACGTCGGCGCATACGAGTCGCTCGCATCTCGTTCGATACGATAACACAGGTCTCACTGTCGACGACACCACTTTTAATAAATATGTAGCTCATTTATCTTGTACCTTGAGTCACGCATCGAGCAATATTGTTTTGGTTTAGCCTTTACTAGTTTACGATTTGCTTTATTGATTGTTACTCGTAACAAAGTGTTTGTGGAGACTTAGTATCTCAGCCGTTACTAGAGTGTTTACTTAGATAAGCATCGGATTTTGTCAGGGTAGTAGTAACGCGAAGAGAAGGTTATTCACCTTTTTATGATTTAATAACAATTTCACGTCTGGAGTCATTTGGTTTTAAGCTGACTATTAGGACGGCTTATGGAGATTTTTTACTACGGTCTAGTCACTGTGACCGGCGCTTCTTTAAAACGAAGTAATCATGTTAATGGAATTCCTCCCATAAATTAATCTCATTGCTGTCATTATTATGTTGACATTATTTACCTACGTAATGTAATAAACTAGTGTGTGTCTTATTTTATATTGCGATAAAGTTTAATTTAAAAAATAATCTTATCATTACCAAACGAAATTCTACATTAGTCAGCCGTTGTATTTTATTTTTATGAACGTACTTTTACATTTAAAAATATTTTGAGAAATCGACCGCCTTCGATTGTATTTTAGGACGCCATTCAAGAGGATTGAAAAGATTTCGAAAACAAGTTGGTGATTAAAAATCCATACATATTTTATTGGTTATGTAATTTCCAAACCGGATTCCTTGCTGGTGTTAAAATGTAAGCCAGCCGTTACATCCTACTAATATTTTTAATTGTGAAAGTATTAAGAATGGATGTATGTAGGTGTGTTTGTTCCTTTTTCACACAAAACTACTGAACGACTTTGAATGAAATTTGGCACAGATATAAAATAGTTCGGAAATTGATGATTGGCATATGTAGAAACAACACAGCTGGCGCAGTGTCTGGGCAACCGACTGCAACGCAATGAATCACGGATTCAAATCTGTACAATCCAAAGATTGTATTGATATGATTGTAAAAGATTGGAACAAAAATTTGTAGATCACACAAATGTGATCTACAAATTTTTGTTCAAGATCTGTCATGTAAGTGCATTCTGTTCTTACTTCCTCAGTAATGTTATAAATACGAAATTCAGTATGTTAGTCCATTTTTCTTTCACGAATCGATTTTGTGTCTGAAGATATTAAGCTGAAGAGCAATATCTATGTATACTATGCCAGACGGACAAATTCGCGGGTAAAAGGTAGTTTCTTGATAAACATGTGACGACTGCTTCAAGCAATAACGAGAACTCTATTGTAATAAGAGGAAACGTTAAAAGCTTCGTTCCCCTAACAACCGAAAGATAGTGAATATGTGACGTTACAAGATATCGCTTTTAAAGACAAATCCTTTTATACCAACTAGTAGACACTTATAAAATATTATTTTTCGTGCATCTTGACTTTTAAGCTATTGTTATTTCTGGGGTGATAGGAATTTCGCAAGGATAAATAAATAGCATACAAGGTTTATCGTATATAAACGAGTAAACGAGCAGACGGGTCACCTGATGGTAAGCAATCGACGCCGCCTATAGACATTTGGAACACCCTAGGGGTTGCAAGTGCGTTACCGGCCTTTTGGAACTAAGAGTTTGAGGATTGTTGGGGTGTCAAGGATTGGGGAAACACAACGCAAGCGTTGTTTCACGTCGGTTTTTTTATGAAGCCGTGGTATCACTCCGGTCAAGCCGGCCCATTCGTGCCGAAGCATAGCTCATGGCTCTCTCATATTTTAATGGTGAAATATTCATTAAAATACTTATTTAATTATTTTTTAGCATTTTGGACGTGATTCATAATGGGGCTTATCGTATTTTTGCTCACCTACCAGATGATGCTAGTAGGTGGTATGAAACTCTCATCCTTCGTCCAATGGGGAATTAGCTAGGTCACCCCATTGGACGTTCAATATTTAACAACTGCTGTAATTGGACAGAATTTCTTCCTACATTTGGGCCATCTCATGACCAAACATACGGTAGTCCCCATTGCAGTTGGGCTAAAGTTACAAATACGTAATGTTTATAAATAATTTTCGATAGCATGCGATGCGACTGAACTAATCAATATATTGTTTAAAATAAACTCTATAGAAATAATGTCAAAAATTGATCGACCACTGGTAACTCCTCCCAGCTGAAGGGCATTGGATGGTACCCAATGCTATGTTTAGACGTCATTTTAGTCAGTCAAACGTGACTTCTATGCACAATTTCAAACTAAGAAATCCCCAATTTCCCTGTTCAGATTATAATATTTTATTAGGTATTGCCCTTTATATTTGCCTAATTGTCCGTTCTCTGTTATTTCTTTCCTCATTATTGTTACCTGTTTGACTTTTATGCGTCGATGATTGAAATCAATATTTCATATTCATAACTGAACATTGTGTGATTATTATGTGCATATGCACGTACAATGTTTACCTATAATATGAGAATCTTGAGTTTATTCTTATAGTCCGGTCAATTTATACAACCGAGGCAAATAGCTGAATATTGTCAGAATCTGTTCAGAACACAATCATAAATAAAAATATTTTTATAATAACTATCATGACCTACTAAATAAACTAAAAATTCCAGGTTACACTTAAAAATACTGAGAAAAGCTCTATTAGTTTCGAGCCACGGAGGGGCTCTTCCTATAGGCTGTGCAATATCGCCGCGACCATGCACGCTGCTCTTGAGGAAGAGCCTCTCTGTAGCCGGAAACTAGTAGACCTTTTCTCAATATTTTCACGTGAGTAGATCGCGATTTTTAGTTAATAGATTATAATATGTAAAAAGGACTCTCGATCCATCTGAGACCGATTTAATTTATTACTACCTGATTATTGTTATGTATTTCGTTTACTCACATATACCTACGTAGGTTGCACGCTATAGAACTGCATTCAAAGGACTCTGGCGCGCCTGATTTCATTTGTCATTCAGTGTGGCAACAAGAACAAATAATTTCATAAATGAGATCAAGGCCACGAGACTGTATCGTTGCATTATTCCGTATTATTATTGGTTGATGCACATCTTGTGCCAGTTCTCTTTTATTTTTTATTTTGGTTTCTTGCGTGTTGCCGTGTACAATCAGTCAGGGGCAAATGTCGACAGTGCCGAAATGAGGAGTATTAAAATTTATTGCCGTATTAGCTATATCCAGAGATGTCGTTCGCGTAACAAGTTTTAAGGGTATTGTACATTTCTTCAAGATAAAAATAAACTACTGAATCATTTCATTTTTGCCAAATGTAGGTGTTAATACTAGTTTAAGTCACTGTAAAATGTTGTTATTTGGACCCTTGAGGGTGTCTCGCGAACTACCTCGCGAGACACAATACTACTATTGTCAGAAATATTCTCTAAGTTCTCAGTAACTAAACTATAGTTTCAGTCAGCCCACAGAACATGGCAATTACCTGTGGCTAACTATTCCTTGCCGTTTTAAGAAGAAGCTCCGTGCTTCTGTTCAGATAAATTATTGTGTTGTTATGCATTTATTTAAATCTGTACATTTTTTTTATAGCGTATAGATATACTAGCGACCCCGCCCCGGCTTCGCACGGGTGAAATATGCATGTATTATGCATATAAACCTTCCTTAAGAATCACTCTGTCTATTAAAAAGGACCGCATCAAAATCCGTTGCGTAGTTTTACAGATCTAAACATACATAAGGACAGACAGACGATGGATAGCGAATTTGTTTTATACTAAGTAGTGATTTATTTCAATAACTTACACTAAAACTAATATAAAAATATACATTAACTATATAAGATAATAATTAAATAAATGAAAATTTTTGTTTTAATATTTTTAGGCTACTATAAATAGCTACAATATTATATAGAGGGTGAACTAAATATCTGTCGCTATTCAAATTAAAATTCGACTATAATGGTATTTTTATCAACTCTGTTAACGTGACATAAAACTCCGATGATAGTGATGTTATTTGTTATTTGAGTTCGTGGTTATTACAAAACACATTAGGTGGCGCTTCGAGGTGGAAATTAAAAATGCATTTAAATTGGAGCAACTGAACAGATGTTTACCATTAGTAAAACGGATTAGTTATTTAGTTTAACACGTGGTATCTTCAATTGCTTAACTAGCTGTTAATCGCGGTTTCGCAGGAAAAAGGAAAGGTAATAAGTATAAGAAAAATAAGGGAACTCTTTTCTATAAATTGGAGCCGTACTGGGAAATGATACTTAGTTTGCTATGACATACGTTTAACCTACAACTGTTTGTAACGCCTGTAGGTTAAGATACAGCAAAATAATAACCCTTCTTTAAGTATTGCTCTGAATATAAAAAAACATAAATTGTATATTTTTTTAACATCATCATAATTTGGGTTGGTTACGATTCCCGCACAGAACAACTGTTTGTGTGAACCACAGATTTTTTCCGGGTCTGGGTGTAATGTGGATGTGAAGTTTTGCGTTTATAAACGCACCTACGACACAGGAGAAAATCCTAGTGTGGGGCAAAGGTTTTTATTAAAACAAATATAAACAAAATATTTCGTTTAAATGGGTTAACTGTAATACTTTTTCATATTATCAAATTGCACAGGCTATTTAGTCCCTGGTATGCAGAACGTAGATATACGCGAGACGCAATGTGTTTTCTATTGTGTCTCAAACGCTCACAGATAAGATGTTAGGAGAATTTTAGAACTGAAAAGATTATTTTTACCTACTTACTTACTTTGCTTTAACATAAATTTTGTACTTAAGAATTCTAACCCCAAAAAATTACTTGTCTAGGTAATTACTTAGCAACGAGTAATTTACTTGTTTATAAATACGGGGGTAAGACCTCAATCTTGATAGTGAAACTTACAATTACTGGTAAGGTAGTACAATCCTACTCGTACTAACAAAAATCTACGTTAAACATTTTTCGTAGAAACACAAAAGCCCCAAGGGGACGTCACTCAACTTCAGTTTGTCGGCTTCACGCTGCCACTCTTTAATGTATCGTAGCGACTGAAATACTTATAAAACCCTCTCACAATTGAATAGAATTAACTGGGGTATTTGTTCGTCATCAAATCATCACGCTTTTTTGTTCCTTAAGTTCCGAAAGGATAGGTTGATGCACAAGTAATGATCATCATACACTTTACGGCACGGCGTTTTTTACTTTTGAAACAATACAAAAATGTTGTAAGCGTGCCGTCGCCGCGTCGCGTCGGTCGGCGCGTCGCGCGGACGGCGCGCTTACAGTTTTTATATTGACGTTATGCAACATGTCCCCTGTTCTGAAACCCTGTGCACGCCACAATCATACGACATATATAAAGTTCACATTTAAATGACAATGACATTGCTGGGTTGGAGCCGCGTTTGTTAGGTGTGTGAGTGATGACCGAGATGTTCAACAGTGGAGGGTTTTGGACACATGTTTACCTACAATTCCATGTAGTAAAGGAACCTCCCTTATTACCATAATTGTTTCCAGTACTAATCTATAATAATAATTATGACAAGGTATTTTGTGCAATTCGGTCTCTTTTTTGCCTCTTCATATTTTAGGGGAAAAAATAAAGAACATTGCGAGGTAACCTATGGATCGAAAATATTAAATTATGAGTTTCAAATCGGCAATTCACTTTGAGCAAGCACGGTAATTCAAATGCCATGTTCCTTCTTTGTGTGATAAAAGACCTAAACCTACTTAACAGTTTCAAAGAATTAAACTTTATTCGACTTGTTGCGTCCTCTATGTCATTTGAATACCTTCTTAGGTGTTACTGGATCAGATGCCTATACTTGGTATGTCTCCTTGAGCTAGTGACCATTGCCTAGGTACTTAGGTCTCAGTACATATCCACATTAAGCTATCCGGTGTTGTCTGTTTAATTAGAACATCTAGACGATAAGAATATCTTTGTTCACGATTTGTAATAGAATCTCGGTATTGAGTGCCTAGTGCAAGTCCTCTGAAGCTAGCCCTCTGATTGGTTGTTTTATTTGGAACAAGCCAATCAGAACGCTGAATGTTATAAACTTGTCGATCGCGTTAACGTAGAATGAACTTGAACTAGGCCCTCTCGCGTTCCTGACCTAGTCAAGAGGAACATCATCATACCGGGTATCCTATTAACACATTTTTATTTTGTCGTTGCAATGTGATATTGGTTACCTTTGTGTCATACCTTGAGATGTAGGTACACATAAAAGGATAAATAGGCCAATGAATGTTGAAAACAAATTGACGTTTAGTCATCTTATTATGACTTTATTTATTATTATGACTGCACGGTTGGCGCGGTGGCTGGGCAACTGGCTGCCGCGCAACGTGCCGCGGGTTCGATTCCCGCACGAAACAACTATTTGTGCGATCCACAGATTGTTGTTCCGGGTCTGGGTGTCATGTGTATCTGATATTGTATGTTTGTAAACGCACCCACGACACAGGAGAAAATCCTAATGTGGGGCAACGTTTTAAAAAAAAATCTTATGACTGCCAATTGATCGAGATTCAACTGCGTCCTTTACATAAACTTATTTGAGCAAAATTATGCTTGTTTTCGGCACTCCGTAGTCATACAAACTTAGTCTGTCCGGCGCGTCGCGTTCCGCACGCGCTTCGAAGAGCTATCAGACCACCACGTATTGGGCTCAATAGGGCTGATGCTACGGAGCTGCGGAGGACTTCACGGATTGCCGGGGCTCAGACTCGAAGGGCAGGAGTAGGAACGAGGGAAGTCTGACACTCCCTCCCGAGTCCCGCCTCACCCAGGCGGGAGAAGTCATTCGATGATTTTAGCCCCTTAAAAAAACATAGTCTGTTGACGTAATTATTGAAAAAGGGGTATAATTATATGTTTCTGGCGTCACGTGCGGTAATAAACATTATTCAATATCGTTATGTATCATATTTTGTAAGCTAAATCAATTTACTCAACTAATCATATATAGCAAAGCGCATTTCTAATATAATAGCATTATCATAACTTTAGCAGGAACTCATAACTAAAACTCTGGACTGTATCCATTACAATCCATTGAAGCTCAATATTTCTATCTGAACCAGTTGTTTTGGCAACTGCATCGATGCGATGTCACGTAACACTTACATTATTGGGATGACATAGGTACCTACTGGATGATTGCTATGATACATAGGTATTTTATATCTTTAGAGACTATGTAGATCATTGAAGTGAATGCTATGTGGGTCTTGTTGGTCGATTGGTTTATATGTAGGGAAGTGCAAACTATAAGGTTAATTTTGATTCTTGATTCTTGATTTTTGAAGTCGGTGGATTTAGTAGAACTTTGATATTAAATAATTATAGGAGTTTGACTTCAATTCACTGAAACTGGTCGTTTGATAGAGGTTTTATTCTAGAGTAGCTTCTGACAGTGGTTTCACTTGCAATCCAGACTATAGAGGATGTTGGAAGAGGGTTCAAAATTTCAGCCATTTTGACGTGAAGGACTAACAAACAAACACACAAACTTTCACATTTATTTATAATAATAGTAGAATTTCAGGTGCCAATCTTGTTAAAATACCTACATATCTATTACTCTTGTTTCAATAGAAAAGAAACAAATTATAATTTTAACATTAAAATTTATACTAAGTGAACTATAGAAAAAGGCCTTAACCTATAAAATATTTTTATTACTATATTATACAACGCTAACATTTTAAATTACGTATTATATACCTAAGTATTATTATTCTATTATTAATCTCACAGGTTTTTGAAACTTGTTTGTCACATTTAAAGTATGGCAATATATTGTTATACTATTCTTACAAACAGTTTTATTATTAACTAAAAATCGCGGGTTACTCACGTGAATATACTGAGAAAAGCTCTACTAGTTTCGAACCACAGAGGGGTTCTTCCTCATGTACCTACAGTACAATAGGCCGCGCGACATCGCCGTGACCGCACACACTGCTCATGAGGAATCCGCGAGTTTTAGTTAATTTAGTATTATAAATTTTATTATTATAAAAAATATAGGCAGGTTTATCACAATATTAAATACGATGATGCTTTTATCTAATAAATATAAAATTTGAACAAAATTCTTGCGATCAGAGTCGTAGCGAATACTCCAAATACGTCAAAAACAAATTTAAACATTGATTCTTGGAAACTAGAAATCATATTTTACGAGCATTTTTAAGCCAGTCATAATTTGTGTCCTTTACCTCAGTCTAACCACAGAAATTCATGAATGCTTCAGCCGAGCAGAAGTAACAATAATGAGTAGGACTTTATACGAATGTACAATCGACAAGTTCAAATCATGACTCACATTGTTTATTATTTTACGAAACCGTCAAAGCAAAAACCTTCCAAAAATATAACAGTGTAACATAATTAAAATTTCTCGATTATACTTGTCTTGCCACCGTCACTGTCGGTGTTGATGGCTTCCATGGCTAGACCATAATGCAGGGTACACATCTTACGATTTAATTGTGCAGTTTAACTGTAAAGTCTAACTGAACGATTTAACTTTCAAATTTCGTTGTACAGTCAAATTCCACTGATGTTAAATCGTATGATGTGTAGCGTGTATTACAGAATCTGTTGGTACTATGAGAATTTTAACCCTGTATTGGTACCTCTTATTACTATTTTAAATTCAATACACCAATTTGTACACGTATCTTCGTAACAAAACGATCACTTAAAGATATATACCCTAGCACATCAAGCTAGCCTATTCTATCAAATATCTTGGTTCAAATATAAACCTGAATTTACTTTGTAATAGGGATGAGAATCGTTTTGAAAGTCATGGAGTAGCTTGATATGCTACCGTCTGTAAATACTTGATTTTAAGTTATGTTGTTATACTACAAAGCTGTGATGTAATTGTCATGTGCATACATTTCTTTCTCTGTCGGATTCTTCACTGTGTCTCTTTCTTGTCGTTTGTGCATTATGTACAGTATTCTGGAAATAAAATTATTTTTTGTTAATTTATTTAACACCATTATGTTGTTTTCGTTACAGGTAAAGTTTAACAATAAATATAAAAAGCTAAAATCGTAGGTATCTAATAATCGTGTTCAGTTACCCTAATTTGTAAGAATATGGGATGGAATGGAATTAAAAAAATTAAATATGTACTAAGAATTGCAATTTAAATGAACTGTATGAGGAAGTTATTCAAAAGCCTGGCGAAACTGTTTATAATTTGTATCGTTTATAGGCTCATAATCCGAAAATGATGACCCAATCCTATGTTTTAAATTTTTTTGTACACACGGCTACACATCAAGCTTTACATAATCAGTATAAACTGAACGTTAAATGTGCGGAAAGATGATGCGACGCGTCACCAGGATAAACTGGTTTTGTATAGATTGATGTGTGACCGTGTGTACCTAATTAACTAAAATAGGTTTCGTTACATTCTCAATTTATCCATCAACGGCATCATCATCTAACTCTCTACACAACACACACAACTTCAGACCCTTTTTAAAAACACAAATAATTAGAAATTCACAGCCAAAGACCATGAAGCCGGCCTTTGACCAGCAACGTGATCAATTTAGAGTAACGTGAGCACAGTGCACATTGTCATCGACCGCCCGACGAAACCGCACACTGGGCAAAATTCCAACATGTATAATACTGATTACGTGATTGAAAACAGCCTCGACCTTTTATAGCCTTTGAGTTTTTTTTTAAGAGCAATCAATCGATTTTTGTTTGACTCTTGATGTTAAGTTGGAAATGGTTTTATGTTTGTTTAAGAGTAATTTGTGTTTAAATAATTATTATTAATATACATGTATAATTATTTTTTCTCAGGATTAGCAGTTTAAAGAACACTCTTAATACTTTAATTGCCTAGTATAAAATGGTGATAGTCAAATATCCACTATCATCAGGCACCTAGCACAGACATAAACATGATAAATAGAAGAAATCACCTCTGTGCTTGTCTCTTAAAAAGAAAAATAGTTACACAATCTAACTGATAAGTTATTACAAAGAGTATAAGAACAATTCAATTAAGTTACAGCCTACATTTTCACAAGTTTTGTTTTGGGATATAATATTCTAAACCCATATAACATACATTATATTACATAACATCACGGCTTTTAACCCCGATGAAGTAGGCAGAGGTGCACATTATGGCACTTAATGCTACTGTACAATGTAACACCCACTTTTCACTAATTTTGTTACGAGTCCTATGTAATAGGGGGTGAGCCTATTACCCTATACCGGGCGCAATTCCAGAATCCGTGCTACTACTGAGAATAAAAAAAAACATTAATACTTTTCCCGAGCCGGGAACTGAACACGAGACCCCTTGCCAGGCAGTCGCACAATTGCGACCACTCGGCGAACGTCCTTACCCAACCCTTAAAACAATACCTACAACATAATACTCACATGAATATCAAGAAGGCAGGTATCGTCATAGTCCCTCCCAGCAGGTACACCGCTCCTGGAAAAGTCTCCACCGTGTTGGAGAACAGCTTGCTGTACATTGGTGTATATATCACTGGTATCAGGGTTTCAATGAACCCAATCAGCGAACATATTTTACCTGAAATAAGATTTAAAAAGGTTTTTAATTAGTTAGCAAAGTAGTTTAAAAAAATCACTGCGGTTTTGTTGTTTAGCTCAATTAGTGAGAATTCTAAGAATTTTAAGATAGGTTAAAATATTTATACTTTTTTACTCAGGACAAGGACTGCCTCGCTGGGCGAGTGGTCGCAAGTGCGACTGCCGGGCAGGGGGTCTCGGGTTCGATTACCGGGTCGGGCAAAGTATTACTGGGTTTTTAAAAAAAAATTCTCAGTAGTAGCACGGAGTCTGGAATTGTGCCCGGTATATGGCAATAGGCTCACCCCCTATTACATGGGACTCATAACATAAATAGTGAAAAGTGGGTGTTACATTGTACAGTGGTATAATGTGCACCTCTACCTACCCCTTCGGGGATTTTATCCCCGGCGTGATGTTATGTTAAGGAATTTTTCAAGAATGTTATCGAATTCTCAGTTTTCTATTCTTATTTTTATAAACAACAGCCGTAATATTTATTTTGTTATGTTAGAAAAAACTGTATTGGGACCTCATACTTGTTGGAATAAGGTTTGAAATAACAAAGAATAACAATTTCATATAATGATTTTATTATACCCCAAATTAATGAAAGAAAATGCTCCCTTAAACGTTACTATCACATACAATCAAGATATAAATAATTTTCAAAGCAATGCAAAATTTATTCAACTGAACTGTTAGATAAATGCGCAATTAGTTGAGTGCTGACCAATGAAGTGTCGTTTTAAATTGATGTCTATAATGGGTCCTATCGTCAGCTATTAAATCAATTTATACATCATTTTTTATAATCTCTTGAGGTAATTTTTTTTAACATTAACATAACATCACGCCATTTATCCCCAAAAGGGTAGGCAGAGGTGCACATTGTGCCACTACACAATGTAAAACTCACTTTTCACTATTTATGTTATGAGTCCCATGTAATAGGGTTGAGTCTATTGCTATATACCGAGCACATTTCCAGACTCCATGCCACTACTGAGATTATTTAAAAAAACCCCGTAGTACTTTACCCGACTCGCGATTCGAGACCCCTTGCCTGGCAATCGCACTTACGACCAGTCGGCCAACGAGGCAGTATAACGAGGTAAAAATACCACAAGAACGAGAAAAATATATACTTAGTACAAAGGAAGATTTTGAGTAATCATTAAATCTTCAAAGGATATCAAATAGACTTGCTTTTGTTTCAGCTTTGACTTTTGGACAAGCATTTTTAAAATAATCGTCAACATACCTATCGGTAACAAACAGTAATACTATAGTATTTAGATTTTGTTTTCCACAAACATTTTCACCAATTGCCCACCTAGTACCTTATACAAGGTAGACAGGACTTACGTACTATTGCTAGAAAATGCAATTTACTAGTGCAAAGGTTAAAATTCCTTCACATAACCGTCCAATGTCCGCTACGCTTTGCTGGAGAGCAAGAATTCAGAATGTACATTCAAGTGACGGACAGAACCGGCTCCACTGATATTTTGGGAGGGCATTTTACTTGGGAACAAGGAAAATCTATTTTTAGGAACATGCCTTTTTTATGGCGCATAAGCCGATAAATGAGCAGACGGATCACCTGATGGTAAGCAATCGGCGTCACCCATGGACACCCGGAACACCAGAGGCGTTACAAGTGCGTTACCGGCCTTTTGGGGATTAGGACTTTGAGGATCGTTGGGGATTCAGGGATTGGGGAGATTGGGGCAGGGGAAGGTAATTGGGCCTCCGGTAATCTCACTCACACGACGAAACACAACGCAAGCTTTGCTTCACGTCGGTTTTCTATGAGGCCGTGATATCACTCTGGTCGAGCCGGCCCATTCGTGCCGAAGCCTGGCTCTCCCACACTTTATGTGTTTATGTTTTAAAAGTGTAGATAAATTTATGATTTTTAGAGATAGGGTTAGGAGGTTTAAGACTGAGATAGGCTAGTAGGCTACCTGTTTCCTTAGACCACCCAGATGAAACCGAAGTCGGAAAGCCAATAACGAAAATTTCAACCAAAAAATCTAAATTATTAAACTATAAAACTTATTATTTTCTTGACAAAACAACATTCTTTCAAGCTGTCTATATTTAGTACCATTATGAACAACATTTCGATTCGAGTAATAAAACCACGATTTTGTTTTCTGCAAAATACCTACGATTAAAACAAGTATAGACGTTTTAATGAACAAATTGGCAAATATTTAAAGAAAATAAACAAAGACATACATTTGGTGACATCGTGACCAAGACAAGAAAATAGAATAGGTTAATACACTGGCCGTATGTGTAAATATCCTATTTTGATCTGATGTATAGAAATGTGCGCATATAAAAAATTTTAGTGATTCATTTTCATTAAATTACATGTGTTTTTATAATAACTATCGTGAGAAACTTAAATATTTAATTAAAAATCGCGCTCGCTGCTCATGAGAAAGAGCCCTTCTGTGGCTCAAAACTAGTAGAGCTTTTCTCAGTATGTTCACGTGTGTAACCCGCGATTTTAGTTAAATTATGTGCTCATGTAAAAAAAACCCCAGAAGCTTATTCCCACTTTAACCGACGTGAAACAACGCTTGCTTTATGTTTCGTCGTGTGAGTGAGGTTACCGGAGGCCCAATTACTTCCCCTCCTCAGTCTCCCTAATTCTCGAATCCTCCACAATCCTCAAATTCCCAATTTTCAAAAGGCCGATAACGCACTGGAAACTCCTTGGTGTTTCAGGTATCCATGGGCAGCGCCGATTGCTTACCATCAGGTGATCCGTCTGCTCGTTTACCGGCTGATCCCATAAAAAAAAATACACATTCCACACTGACGGAATGAAACACATGGTCAAATGCCATGGGCAAATACTAGTTCGGTTAACCTTTTACAAAGAAGAAGATCAACAAACATAATTAGTTTTTTTCTATAAAATTATGTTTTGCTTGATCTCTCATAGAATCCGGTTTGCGAATAAGTGGATAATGTTATATTAATAGTAATAAAGTCTCCTCACTTTGACGCTGACATCAGACTATGATAAAAAGTATAACATAAGTTCCTTCGATTTTGGATTCTGTTAGAAAACAAGCATTTGAATGTGCTATGATTCACTCGTGTGGAATTTGTAGTAGTTCTATTTCATCCCTTAAGAAAGTCAGGTCTAAAAGAAACCCTATTTTACTCCCTACAAAGTAATCTTTCTATTATTTTACAAATTAGTACGTTAAAACTAAAAATAAGTACCTAATTTCTTTGTTGCGACTATGATTCATAATTATTATATATTAGCCATATAGAATGCCAGTAGGCTGCGCGACATCGACACGACCGCGTACGCTGCTCATGAGGATGAACCCCTCTGTGGCTCGAAACTAGTAGAGCTTTTCTCAGTATATTCTCATGAGTAACCCCCGATTTTTAGTATGTCTGACGATAGTTATTATCTTACATTTACTGCAGCCAATATAGTCACTAACATAATATTAATATTGCTTCGATTAGGTACAATATTTCCATTAAATAAAATAAATTTTTATTTTTATTCTACTCATAATATCTATTCATCATTGATCCGGTTTCCCCCAAAATAATGGAACCGCCCACGCTTGACATTCCTTTATAGTTTTTACAAACACTTTTTGTATCGAAATAGTTATTCCATCATTAAGTTTTGTGGTTACATTTAATTTGATGTTTGGGATTGTATCCGCTATGACCATCGGTCATAGTATCTACAATACTATACGATTTTCATGGCATATGTTGTGCAATTTTTTGTGGCGATCCAATGTAATCAAATACATATTTATATCGTAGAAAAGAAAAGAGAATACTGCGAAAGACAATAAAAAGAAGATTAAGAATCGATATTTTCATGTCTTGGTATGCTTAATTTCATTTAAATTTATGATACGGCCATATCTATAACAAAATTAGTATTTCAATGCCTGTAACAAAATAAGTTCAGTACTTGGCTGGTGGGTCAGGCTTCACATTGGTTGATTATTCACATCATTCAATGGATGATGTTCTTTTAGGTAACAGGGGCGTAGCCGTATCTGCCGTATCAAATATAAGGGGCCTCCAAACTACGGGGGCCAGTAATCACAAAATGCATGCGTTCAAATGTTGGCAAAAACCATGGAATAGACAAATCTATTCCATGGCAAAAACTTAGCAAAAACTATAGTACCTAATCATTGTCTGATAATTTGGGCAGAGAAGGTATTTTTGTAAAAAAATCTCTTCTCAGAAGTTTTTACCTTTCATAAGGGCCTCCAAACAAATTTTGTACAGGGCCGGGGCCAAGATACGCTACGCCACTGTTAAGTAACAAAAACTTTAAGTAGAAAGGGCTAATTTTTCAATCATCACTTAATTCTCAACTGTAAACTGACATTTGACAGTTTTCTTGATTTATTTGATTATGCCAAGAATTGCCAAAATTTATTATTTTTAGTTATTCTTTAGTTAAAATGTACCTGGCGTTGGAAAAATCTACCCAAAGTAAAAAAAATATTATAGTTACTGAGAGAATTAAACATTCTGTATGAAAATATCTTTACGTTAAAACTAAATCTTTAATTTAAAATGCTTGCTGTTTTTCAATGATAACAAACTTGTTAAGACGCATTTTTCTAATACCATTTAACTCAAACGCACATTTAACCGTAACTAAGCCCTGCTGCTTGAAATATTCATATAATAACCTAGAAATTATGAGATGTTTAAAAACAGTCAAATAGTATCTTTATTTTATTTAAAAAATTATGATTGCTCTCAGTTTCAGCAAGACCTTAGTACTAGAAAATTGAAGTTCAAAATTGCTTACCTACTATCTAAGTTTTATCATGAATTCTTAAATTCAGAATAACTTTTCAAGTTCAACTTAAAACTTTTTTGTTGTGTCATTCTTTTTTACTTAAATATAAGTAAATTTATTTCAGAGTAGGTACAGAGAGGATACCTATCTCTATATAATTATAAATAATTTAAGTATGAATTAATATATGCAACTTAAAATTATAATAACTAAAAACTAAAATATTTACACATTATTACTTTTTTAATGTGTAAATTATTATCTTAAGCTTAAGGCATAAAAAAAAATCGTTTTAATATTTTGTGATAACGTATTTTTATGGGGTTTATAGTAAAGGGGGTTGAGTCTAAAGTTATAAGTTGTCGATTTATTTAATTAGTTAGTAACTTTTATTGTTTCGACATTTCAGATATTTTAAACGATTTTCAAAGTGCAGTGAGTTCTTGTCGGCCGTTTTATTTGAATAATTATTCTGCTATCTTAAATGGATATTTAAATGGATTTTAATTTTATTTACAATAAATGTAGACTAAAGAACTTACCAACTTTTTCTGCACCCACAACTTTAGTGCCAAGAGATCTAATGGCAATGGCGCCTGAGTTTCCAAAGAAGTCAAAAGCTGGGGCAGCATACAGCCAATTCCTGGTCGGAGCCAGCCCATACACGAAGGCAGAAACAGTTTTACAAGTAGTCGCGATAATTCCCATTAAACTGTCATGCATCTTCAGTTTTTTACTGAAGAGTGTTACTGCTACTGCTGATCCTGTAAAATAATATAAAAAATAAATTATAATAGAGAATTTATAAGAAGTTTTTAACATAGACTTCAAGATATACAAGCGCACGGTCCAAGAGTCCGTGGTGAATTAATATAAAACATTAAAAAAAAACATTAACATCAGCATTGTCAATGATCTGACTCTTCCCTCACTAGAGGGAACCACTAGGTTGGCTATGCCCAATTTAGAGTACCTACTAAACTTGTGTTCTATGCAAAAGGCTTGCGATAATCTGATGGGTTAGATAAAGGTACTTATTTGGTATGGCGTCTACTACTTTATTACATCTGTGATGATTTCAGAATCTTGACAATGATTTCAGAAGACGAGCTATAATCTTCCACACAAAGTTTCGATATAACTTTTTTATATAACGAAAAATAGCACACGGTCCACCTGATGGTAAGCGGTTTCCGTGGCCTATGTACTATAGTGTAGTGTTGCAAGAGTAACACTAATATCATAATACATGTATACCTAAACTCCTCGTACTCTGTTGGGTTGGGGTTGTTTTTAGTTATCCCGATTCTAAAAGTCCCTTTCGTCCTAGCCAGACAAGGGGGCTCCATGAGAATAGGGTAATTGCCTAATTTTTATTTTAATGTCCGTTTGGTAGATTATTTTAAATCAAAACACACGTATTTTTAATTTTCTTACTGAAACGAATACTTTCGACGATATATTGATTTGAATTGTTGCGTGACGTCACTTCTATATACATTTTATACGAAGAAATGACGTTTTAGCCCCCATTCCCTTACTTTGATTCGTTTTATCTCAGGGTTATTTTATTATACGACAAAATAAAAAATACATCTAATATTTTTTCATTACATAACTTACGGACTAATTAGATTTTTAATTTTCATACCCTGTCATCATCCCAATTATTCACTTTAGGGTAAAAAACTACGATATTGGCTATCTAGGTAATTAAAATCAGAACTTCGTGCTGCATTGGATAAAAGAAAGGGTTTCATTAGCAAAAAATGAATGAATTGACACTTAAGGATGATGTGATAATTATAACAATAATCATGTCACAGTGGCAAAGTCATGGCGGAATCATTGTTAAATAAACCTTAAGGTGATTATATCCATTACTTAATCTTTGGAGATAAATACTAAATGGTTTGTAAAGGAAGGACAAGCAAGGAATTCCGTGATTACACTTGATTGAGCAAAGAATTTAATTCACGATCAATTCTTAGGACATCTGTTTTGTATTGTTAAATTATGTAGAACTGCTATATCGTATTTAGCTAGGATTGGATGATATCAGTTGAAAAGAGAGAGTGGACTGACTATTAGAGGTATAGAGGTATTTATGAGACGTGGGCAGACATGTTGAAGCAAATCCATAAAATATGGTTCTATGGTATAAAAAGGCTTTTATGGTAAAGAAAGTTAAGAAAGCGATTAAGTTTGACTAAATATGAAAGTATATGAAGTGATGAAACCGTTGAACAAAAAACCAATATCTTGATTCCTTACCAACTCGTATTATAAAAAACAACAATCTGTTCAAGTATTCCTCGACTCATTTTGCGGTTAGATGAAGCTCAATGTCTAATTTGTAATAAACATTAAGCAAAAACCCAATAATAATAATTGTTGTTATATAGAAAATTATTTCAAAAGTCGTCGGGTCTTTATTATCTAGTAATTTATGTATAATATTACATTGGCTTAAAATAACAAAGAATTTGGGACCTTATTGTTTATTGTACTGAAAATGAAATTACATATCGTTACTGATTCCTTCACTACATTTTTTTCTTTTTGTTAATTTGACTGCCGTGTCAGATGGACAAAAAAGTGATTGTTAACCACATGGTTTTGAGTTGAATGTCCGGGTCAAGCAACAAATAAGACGGACTTTTTACTCTTTTACTGCTACGATGGGACTGTTGAGGTAACAACATGTCGAGAAACATAATTTATATATCAATTTTAAGTGACGGCACGAATGGTCCGGCTCGACCGGAGTGATACCACGGCCTCACAGAAAACCGACGTGAAGCAACGCTTGCGTTGTGTTTCGTGGTGTGAGTGAGGTTACCGGAGGCCCAATTACCCTCCCCTTCCCCAATCTCCCCAATCCCTGAATCTCCAACGATCCTCACACTCCTAATCCCCAAAAAGCCGGTAACGCACTTGTAACGCCTCTGATGTTACAGGTATCCATGGGCGACGACGATTGCTTACCATCAGATGATCCGTCTGCTCATTTACCGGCTTATGCCAAAAAAAACTAGCTTCTGCCAGTGGCTTCGCCCGCGTTCCCGTTGGCACAAAGTAGCCAATGTGTTATTCTACACCGTAATCTACCCTGGTTCCAAATTGCACCCCGATCCCTTCAATAGTTTTGACGTGAAGGAGAAACAAACAAACATACAAGCTTTCGCATTTATAATATTAAATAGGATTCTGTACATCGAATTACTTGCATCTAAATAGCTCAGTATCTCACTGATGATGATGATGATTATAATTATGACGTTAGTAATATAGGTAATCTACCTCCTAGTTCATTAGCATAGAAAAAGTATAATCCAGTACAATAATTATAACTAACCATAGCTTCACCTCATCTCATACTTGGCATTTCAAATCAAACGCATTACATAATACTAGATCTATTATGAAACTAATTAATTACCCCACATGAATGCCAATGAACAATGAGTTTAGGATTTGTTTTCCTTCTAAGAGTTTCTTTTTTGAAATGCTTAATTGTTGCTAAGGAATACGGGTACTGCTAATACATATGCATCCTTAAAGTCAATGAAACCCATAAGACAATAGGTGAAAATAGAGTGCACCTACGAAGCAATACACATTTGCGTAGTACTGCTTCGAAATAAATCATCATGTTTTGTACCTTAGTTACTACACAATAATACGAGATCTAAAGTAAATACGATTATCTCACCTGCAGTGCCCATTAATATTGAGTATGTACTAAATAAACTCAAATCGACGACGCTCATACTAAACTTGGTCAAAACGTACAGGAAGAGAACAGACGCTTCACCTGAAAAAAAGCAATTTACTCTCAAGGATGTCTTGTCTAAACATAATAATATCGTTTGATAATTAAGATAAACAAAGTTAGATAATAATTGAAACAATTATAAATTCTGTTATTATTTGTTTGTTTGTTGAAAACAACATCGATTAATGGCAGAACAATTAAGATTTTAAATGGAAACTTCCTTATTTACTGGAGATAAACAAAAACAATTGTGTGACACTTCATTGAACAGAAAATCAAAAGGCTAAGAAGTAGCCAGATGAAGATTAGTGAATGTCCAAGAATATAAATAGTAAATAAACCTTACCAAAAACTGGTCCCATGATAACAATGTGTGCACCAATTACTAGAAGAATTTGCACCAACTGCTTTCCTCGAGATAAGAAAAGCAACGATACAGTGTCCCAAACATTCCTAGGATGAATGAAATCCAACACTTTTTGGGCCAAAGTTCCTTCCAACTTCACAGTTCTAACATTCTTGATTCTGAAGTAAGTGTAGATAAACGCCAAAAGATACAATGCCAAATTGATTGAAAATATTCCATAATAACCCACAGCTTCGGTCAAAACACCACTAATTGATGTACCAAAAGGTATTCCTAAAGTTACGATGATTCCAACCAAACCAATTCTGAACGTTCTTGATTCTACAGTCGTGAGGTCTGCTATGAAGCTGTATGAACCCATCAACGCGATCGAATAACCTCCAGTTAATGAGGGTAATGCTTCTATCAGTGCGGTGACCCATAAAGGCCATTCTAGGAACATGTACGTTGTAAGGAGCAAACCACACGAAGAAATAATTTCACCTATTACAGGTATGAGCATCAGTGCCTTTCTATTGCCTGTTTTGTCGCTCCATGCTCCAACATTCAATATAATAATGGCAGGAAAAGCGCTCTGTAAGGGACTTTGCCAAGCCGTCATATCTGCAACCAGTTTAGTAGCATTTAATTGAGCAGCTAGACCAAATGTATCATTCTCACTGATTTCACCATTCACTGCTTGCAGACAGATCTCTTCTGTTAGATTCAAGTCAACACGACAGGCTTTTTCTATGTTCAGTTTCTGTACAGCTAATCCTGATACAGCTATAGGTATAATGTAGCACAGTAAAAAAGGTTCTACAGTGAAGAAGGTAAAAAATCTTTTGATCAGGCCACCACATGTCACTGGTTCTTTTGGTTTTTTTGTAGCTCCATTTCCATTAGTTTCTGCATCGTTTTTCTTAGTCTTAGTTAGTTCCAGTCCATTTTCACTTTTCTCGTTCATTTTGTTATATTTTCATGTCACTTGCACTCGCGTTTGATATTTTCTACGTTACGTCTAAGTGTGTGTTTATTTGTAAATACGCACCACGACTGGCAGCTTTGCCGTAGGTCATCGAAATCATCACGGAAACTTGTTTCTTATAATCACTGTTGAGTTTTTAGTGTAGTAGGATCTTCTGAATACGCCCTTGAACTAAGAAATGTCAAAGTTTAATCACATTCCATTATTAATATCAATTTGAATAACATTATTGTTTTTTTTTAAAAAAAGCTAAAAAAAGATGTAGGTATTAAAAAAGTATAGGCGTTAATTGTGTTCGTTTAAGTTTTAAATATTGAATAAGAACTTAATAATACACAGAAAGATATTAACGTATGTAGTTATGTACATATATTTGTGTAGTTTAAAAATATTTGTTTTATTAAACAAAATCGGTTATTACCGACTTCAAAAAAAAAAGGAGGTTCTCAATTTGACTTGTATGTATGTAATATATATGTATGGTTGTGTGCGATTATTAATTAATTTATTTATATATTTAGTCTTTAATGTACACAATTTGATTACACAATCGCACATAAGGGGAACTTAATGACATAATAATATGGGTTCTCTATTAGATTATCTCGTGATTGACTGAACCGATAATGATACAGTTTTCAAAAAAGTGGTTGTTACACTTAGGAGAAGGTTTTAGTACATTAACAATTTATTTTCCGTAATAAATAATACCAAGTATTAAGCGTGAAATATTAAATGTATGTCTTAGTAGTAATCAAAAATACAAATAAATCCTTTTATTTTTGTTTCACTTATATACTCAATAAATAACATATAAACGAGAAAAGTATGAAAAGCATCCCAGTTATTGTGTAAGAATAGAATTAGATGCAATAATTGCATTGTCATGTATCCATTATTATGATGCAACCAGCCATTGTATTTTTCAATGTTACAAAACGTTTTGTTAAGAATTGTTCAATGAAAACATTTATTGTGTCGGAGTGAAGTGCGAGTAATTGATTTATTACGGAGCGCCTGCTGCAAGCGGATACTGATTCGACGTGCGACCTTTTGATATTGTAAATGCAACAGGCGCTTTGTGTTAACACTGTTATCAGTCCGGTCATGTGTATTTACGTTAGTCTACTATATATTTTGTATGTGTAGGCTGTTCGTTTTGTATCATAATTTTATGTTTATTAACAAGGTACAGTCGGAATAAAGAAAAGTAACAGATTCAGTCTTCACTGATGTAGACGTTTAGTTTAGTCCAACAGACTTTAGTCGCAAACAGAATTCACAGGGTTATCTTAAAATAATGAAGTAGATTACTCGTTCTCATCTTAAATCCTATCTTAAAATTGTGCCCCATAATACCGACTTCTACTCCTACTCCTTCTCCGTTCATGCAGTGAGACTATGGAACTCGCTCCCGCCGAACATTCGGGACGCCAAGTCTATCTCTATCTTTAAGAGACAAGTGAGAGAACATTATCTTTCCTCTTGAAATATAGATTTGTTTTTCTGTATTTATTTATATATGTATTATAATTGTATTATATTGATTTGTTTTATTGTTAATTCTATTGGTTTCTTCGGTCTTATTACTTTTTTTTATTAATTCATTTTTATCTTGTTTGTGTAACACACTATGTGTCTCTGTATTGTTATTTCTTTTCCTGCCACAGGCCCACAGGAAGAAATTCCAGTTGGAATATGTGGGGCCTATGTACTCTGTTTTTTATTATGTATTATCCTCTGTGTTGAATGTGTGTACATAAATTAATAAATAAATAAATAGATTAAAAATTACATAAAATAACTTAACATCACGCCTTTTATTCCCGAAGGGGTAGGCAGAGGTGCACACAGAAGTAACACCCACTTTTCACTAGTCATGTTATGAGTCCCCATGTAATAGGGGGTGAGCCTATTGCCATATACCGGGCACAATTCCATACTCAGTGCTACTACTGAGTTTTTTTTAAAAACCCAGTAATAATTTGCCCGACCTGGGAATCGAACCCGAGACCCCTTGCCCGGCAGTCGCACTTGCGACCACTCGGCCAACGAGGCAGTCCGTTTGTAGATTAAAAATTAATTGCATAAATATCATTTCATCAAATTTGTTTACGATCAGGGTAAGAAATACAAAATTATAGAACTTAGCTACCATCGACATGACTTTAGTTTATACAAAAGTCTTGCTTTATGTGTAAACTTGTATCACTGTGTAATCAAGAATGTTATTATAAATACAAAGTCTAAACGAACCAAAAATATCATAAGTAACCCATTGAAATGTACCAACGAACCAAGTAGGTACAACAATGCAATAGTCAGCAACTTCCATCAGGTCATTGGCCCACTTGTACACAAAGAAGGTTGTGACGCTTTCTACGACCTTTTTTCAAGGAACCCCAGCTTTAGGGCCCAGAAGTACGTGACCAGCTGTTGTAGAACCAATTTACTGATTTCTGATATCACGTACAAGAAGTATGTGGTTTGTAATATCATAACACACTTCAAGAACAGCCTTACCATGATCTTAATACGTTTACTAGTTATCGGTTTTTGCGAACCCCATTTAGGGCATACGTGCATGGTGAATTTGGGTCAACTTTGAAGTCTGTCTATTGTATTTATGGAAAGATCCATTCCTCATTATACGCGATCATCCTTGGATAGACTCATTGATTTTAGGCACCGTTTGCCTATAGGTGCAAAGCGGCCTAAAGCTTCGATTCCTGGGTTGCTTCTTCGATCGATTGATTCTTCGAGGAATCGATGCTTTAGGCCACTTTGTATCAATAAAGTATTCAGTATAATCACGTTATTTACCTCTATACATAATACTGAAAGAAAAACACCACAAGAAAGTATAATCAATAAGATTTCTCACTACAATGTTCTAATGTTATGAAAATAATGTGACATCATACTAAACCATGTCTAACGTAAGCTATTTTCTTCACTTCTTGCTTACAATACGGATGTGTGTATAGTGAATCATTTACAACGCCAGTCATTTCGGTTTGCTGCTGTTTATTTTCTATTACAAAAATAGGTCTGCAAATAAGCCGATGGTAATCCAACAGGTTATCCTGATGATGCGCAATTGGATACCCACAACACCAGTGGAGTTATAAATGCCTTGGCAGCTTTTTGGAGATTTTATGAGTTTTTTTTTTAAGGGGGGAAAATCATCGAATGACTGCTCCCGCCTGGGTGAGGCGGGAGGGAGTGTCAGACTCTTACTGACTAAAAACCACACCGTTTCTTCTCCTGCTCGTCGAGTCAGAGCCCCGGTAACCCGTTAGGTTCTCTGCGACGAGATTTTTTGAGTTGGGGTTGGGATGGAAGGGTTTGGCTTTTGGTTTCACTCACCACCTCACTTTCATTCTGTTTTCTGAGAGTTCATACAAGGTATTACGTTGGTTTTCTGTGAGGCTGTGGTGTCACTCTAGGCGAGCCGGCCCATTCTTGCCGAATCACAGTTCACCCATGTGAATTGTTATGTGTCTTTATTTTCCTAATTATGCTTATACCCACCGTAAACTTAGATGACTGTGCAAGTTGTTGTTTAGTTTAGGGATCAGTACTGGTACCTTAAATTCAGTTCATGAAATAACGCAGTTTAAGTCATTTTTATAATATCAGTGAATAAAACGTGAATCATTAAAAATTAGGTCATCTAAATGACTAATTTCAAAGTATGTTCTGGTTGCTCATTAATCACCTAGGTACCTCTTGTTAAAAAGTGAGTAATAGCAACCCTTACGAATCTAAAGAGTTGCAAATTAATGAATCATTGTTTACCAACAACTCTAATATACCTACTTTAGAACTGCTATAGAATAAATGTTATGATATCTGGACATTTAAGTATAATATATACAATAGGGAGCAGATAATGTATCAATGAGACCTGTAAAAAACATTTTTATTAAAAGAGAAATTATAGAGTTTCTTGCTCGATCTTCTCCATTCAAAACTACACTTACGAACGAGCGCCTAAGTTCACTGACAGACAGACGGACGGAGAATTCAATTTTGATGTTTCAAAAGTGCCTAATTAAGAATTAATAGAAATAAATGCTTCGACTTTGAATGCAAACAAGATAACTTTAGGAGTTGCAACGTGTGACGTCATTTTGCTACAATTCATATAGAATCCTGTAATCACAGTGTTGTTAATCGTACGTGGGAAATGCAAGCACCTGATAAAACAAGTTAATCACAGTTTACGGATGCCAGTGACCTACCTTAGTGATCTCATCAACGAAATATCGAATGTAAAGTTATCAAGTTAAAGTTTAACTACTTTATATGAAATTAGGATTAAATAAAGTTGTTAAATCTAAGTACTCAGGAGCATGACTTATCTTATGTGAAGAACAACCATAACACACGAACTATGGCTGCTGGTAGATACAACATACCCAAAGTCACCAACTATTTTGGTGATAGAACACTAAAAAAGAGAATACCATATCTATTAAACAGTCTGCCGGCAGACATAAGGAGTGAAACAAATTCGAATAAGTTTAAACGAAAATTGAAGTCATATTATTTAGAAATGTCCTAATAATAAGTAAGTAAGTATAAGTTTCAACGCCTGTATAACACTTAAATATAAAATATGAATATTCATTATTTTGAATGTCAAAGTGTAAAATTTTATTGAAAGTTATAAATAGGAGCACCTGATATAGGTAGGTTGCTGCGCAAATAATCTTGTTTGGTGTGGGTCACTTTCTGCAAGGCTTCCTTTATCTGAAATATGGTTTCTACCTCTACATGGGTTTTGTCTGATCTGACATAATTTTCTCCAATATGTAGTATGCAATAATAATTAAAAGTAAAATACAAAAACATAAAAGTAAAATCACAAAGTGTCTTCTCAATGTCATATAAAAGGTCCCTAGCAGTACTATTCAGGACTACATAATGGCTGAAATCAAAGTAAGGTGAGAATATGTTTTCGATGATGGATA